ATATATATATATATATACTTTCCTAAAATCTGACCACCACGACGTGGTGAATAGACACCATGTTGTGATCTTCTGTTAAATGTCGTATTCTCTAAGCCAACTTAATGATCGCGAAGTTTCCATTTACCACGTCGTGGTGGATGATCACCACGTCGTGGGAGTTGAATTTCACATTTTGGCAAAAAACGAGAGTCGTCTAAAATTTTTTCTAGTCTTCACATTATTTTGAATCGCCTTAATCGGAGTTACGAGTAATGAGATATGACCAAAATACTGACGGGGGATCAAGCTGTTCAGCAACATCATTTTTGTGTCTTTTTCAGCTCCTCTTCCTCCAAGTATCCATCTTTTGTCGGTATCGGTCATTTTCTTCGAGAATGTCCATCTTTGGCTCAAAATAAAAAAATAGAAAAACCATAAATTACCAAATTTATAAAAAAGTAGAAAACTAAAAAAAAAAAATCAAACACCAAAATTGTAATATACTTTAATATATTCATAAATTTTACTCTTTTTGGAAAAGATAAAAAAAGTTATCAAATTGATGAAAAATAAAAAGAAAAAAATACAAAAAAGTTAAAAATACAAAAAAATTTAAAAATAATATGAATTTTTTTTTAAAAATATGAAAACAACAAAAAGTGTAAAATATATGAATATATTAGAGTATATTATTATGGAAAAATTTAAAACACATAAGTCCATATAAACTTTGACCTAATTATTATATTAAATAAATAAAAATAACAACTTCAGTTATTTGGTGGAACATCCAAGTAAAACAAATATGAACCTTAACAACATAAAATTATAAAAAAACCCATTATTGATTCAATTCACAAATCAACTCATAAATGTTTTAGTTATCATCATACAACTCATCAATGTTTCATGTGTTTACGTGCACCACATGCTCAAGATTTTCTTCTAGCTATCCTTATAGATGGGCTTGACCAACATATGTCTCCGGTGGAGTATCGTACCATCCTCAGATATCGACTCATGATTCCAATATTCCCAGCCGATGAGATATTCCCGGTGTGCCGCAAGGCGTGATTGGACTCTTTCGGCGAGCATGCACTTCATTGCAAAGAACTCCCAGGGTTCAAATACAGGCACGATATGGTTAGGGATGTTTTGGTCGACATATGTAAGCGTGCCGGGGTTTCCGCCAAGAAAGAGGCTCCTGTGAATTTCCTGACTGACCCGACAGAAGGAAGATCAACCCTTAGACCGGCTGACGTTTTGATTTTTGGATGGGTTGGAGGGAAACACGCATGTGTGGACCTTACAGGGGTATCCCCTCTCGTAAGTTTGAGGGTCGGGGGTTTCACGACGGGACAGGCTGCATTAAAAGCTGCTACATGCAAGGTCACCAAACATGAGAAACCGTGCATGGAAAAGCAACACGCGTTCATACCATTTGCATTTGATACGTTTGGCTTCCTTGCGCCGGATGCGGTGGAGCTCCTTAGTAGACTACAACGGATCATGCATAGCCATGTTATATCCCCTAGATCTATTGATGTAGTCTTCAAAAGAATTGGTTTTACCATTCACAAACAATAATAAAAAAATAGTTTAACATGATTTATCGAATTTAAGTTCATTTATTTGAATCAAAATAAATAGAAACACTAGAAATCCATAAATAACTAAAACTATAAAAAAATAGAAAATAAAAGGCCAAAAGGTAAATTTTTCTTTTTTATCAAGTTGTTGAAAAAATAACATAAAAAAAGGAAAAAAAAATTAAGTGTATATATGTTATTTACAAAAAATAAAAAACTAACTATTTAAAAGTTAAAGTTAACAGCACAAGGATCATTCGTGCAATTTTTGAAACCATAGAACGGTGTCATGTTTTTCATAGAAGTCCTCTTCTTTAAATACAATATTTTACAAACAATGGTTAATTATGAAAATTTGTCATTTTTTTTTTGGAACCGACCAGTTAATATATGAAATTTTGTCTTTATAAAGTTACTTATCATCTATCGATTAACTTTTCGGTTAAAAAGTTGGTTTTCATTTGAGTGGAGTCAAAATCTCCATAATAAAGCTCTTCTATTACTGTTACGCATACAAAAACAAAATGTGTGGGTGTGAAGTGTTAAGCTTTCAAAGCCCAGGGGGCTCTTAAACCCCAAATAATAAACTCCCGCTATGATGCACGCTCTTTCTTCGTCTCTCTCCCGCTCAAGCTAGGGTTTTTGCGCTACCCTCTCTGATCTGCAGCTAAGCTACCATTCGCGTAAGTTAAGGTATTAAGTTATGGATCGTACGGTTTCTCACTCGTTTCGTTAGAGTCTTAATTTCAGCCTATGTAGTTTTTCAATCGTAACTCGAAGGAAAATATTTGTACTCGTTTAACCCAATTTAGTAGCACAAATGTATTTTAGGGTACATTATTGCAATCGATGATGTAGAATGCTTTCAATATGCTAATCAAAACACTGATGTGGCCGATGTATTGGAGAATGTTTGCTAATTGTGTATTGTTCCTCTTAAATGTCAACAGATCATACACAACAATTGGACGTGACGATGCCTCGGTGAGATTTTCTAATTTTCTTCTCTTTTTGTTTCTTCCTAGTATTGAATTCGATATATTATGGCTATCATGAGTGTTATAACTTGAACTCCCCAATTTGGTTGAATTTTACAGGTATTACTGTGACTATTGTGACACTTACTTGACGCATGATTCTGTAATTCTTCTTTCATCCACTCTCCATCTATTTCATCTTAATGTTGATATTGATTCCATTGTAATTTGTAATTATGCTTTCATATGGTATGTATTTGCTATGGAGTAGTGGTATTACTTATGAATCAGGGATTACTATGCCTCCATGAGTGGGGGTGGGATTTTGCTTTATTTTGGTCAGGAATGGTGGTTGAAAAGTCACCAAGAGAAGAGGATGAGGATCCATTTTTCATTTCATCCAAGTTTGATATACTGTCTAGGTTGATGGATCATGCCCAAAGTGTTGATGGGCGAACAAAATCCATTTGACCCATTTTTGCCACTTGGGGCCATATCCATTTCTATTTAACAGCTACGAATAGTTTTCTTACAGTGATTTGATTGACATTTTTTTTTTCTTTTTCTTCAGCCTTCTGTAAGGAAGCAGCACAATGCAGGGTACAAACACAAGGTACTGTTGTTCTGTGTAATCTGAAAAATTCTACAACAAGTTTATAAGATTTGTCTCTAACATGAGCATGGGTGTATATGATATACAGGCAAATGTTCGAATCTACTATCAGCAATATGAAGCACAACAAAATCAATATTTGATTGACCAAAAGGTGAAGGAGCATCTTGGACAAGCTGCTGCATATCAGCAAGTTGGTGCTGCTTACAATCAACTAAGGCCTCGTCTTCCTATTCCAATGATGCCAATTCCTGGGAATCCGCAGATGTCAATGAACCCATCATTAATCCCTGGAATGAGGCCACTTGCCCCTTTGCCCAGACCCATGCCTGGTACTCTTCTACCCAAATCCTAATCATGCATCCTCTTCAAGTGTTATGTTGTGACAAACTTTTTTTTAATTTTCTTTTGATCTGCCAGGATATCCTGGGATGCCTCCAATGTTCTCACCACCGGGCACATCTTCCATGCCCGGTCAGGTCAATCCGTCAATGCCCGGTCAGGTCAACCCGTCCATGCCTGGTCCCGGTCAGGTCAACAATGGTATGCCAAGGCCAATAACAATGAATGCTCCAGGGAGCTCGGGAACCCCAACCCCTACTTCAGGTGCACCTCCAATGTTTAACCCAAACATGTATCAACCCAACCTGAATGCACCGCCATCTGGAGGTTTTGAGACTTCAAATGCCCCTGCGCAATCTCAGGAAGCTGACCATTGATCTCTTTACAATTTACAAAACACTGTTGTGTCTTTTTTTTTTTTTTTTTTTGTATGAATTTTGTCTCGTCTAATACCAGCTATATTCTTCAATATTTTAGAATTCACCTTGTATGAAATGCCTCATTGAATTTACACTTCGTATTTCTCAGTATTTTGAAGGTGAAAAGATGGTAGCAAGCAGTTATTGCATGAATTTTAGACCTAATATACTGCAAGCACTTTCTTTTTTGTACAAAGAAAGCATTTGACAAACGTATTTTTGACTTTTTCTTGCTATAACTAGAACCAAGTATTGGTCTATTGGATTTGTTTAGGTTTTTTATATATATATATATATATATATATATATATATATATATATATATATATATATATATATATAT